AACCGATCCATATATGGACTGAAGCAGGCTTCTAGGAGTTGGAACATCCGGTTTGACTCTACTGCAAACAGTTTGACTTTGAGCAGAATCCGGATGAGCCTTGTGTTTATAGTAAGACCAGTGGGGATAAGGTTACGTTCTTGGTTCTGTATGTAGATGACATTCTACTCATTGGGAATGATGTATGAATGTTAACTAACGGTGAAAGTGTGGCTTTCACAACAATTCTCCGGGAAAGATCTTGGAGAAACCACCTATATCTTGGGACTTTGACTCTATAGAGATAGATCAAAGAGGATAATTGGATTATCCCAATCTAATTACATTGATTAGATTGTCAAGAGATACTATATGGAGAACTCCAAGAAAGGAAATGTTCCTTTCAGGCACGGAGTCGCTCTCTCCAAGGGTATGTCTTCCAAGACTCCCAAGGAGATTGAGGGCATGAAGGAGATTCCCTATATGCCTCAGCTATAGGGAGCATCATGTATGCCATACTGTGCACTCGTCCTGACATTGCCCAGGCAGTGAGTGTGGTAAGTAGATACCAATCTAACCTAGGTCAGGAACACTGGACAACTATGAAGAGCATATTGAATACCTTCGAAGGACAAAAGAGTTTTGTCTGGTATTCGATGGTAGTTTACTACAGATCCAAGGGTATACTAATGCCAATTTCCAGTCAGATCCAGATGATAGAAAGTCTACATCTGGGTACATCTTTACGATGGGGGCCTGTGTAGTTAGTTGGAAAAGTAGCAAACGAGGTTCCACCGAAGATTCCACAACTGAAGTCAAATACATTGCCGCAAGTGAAATTGCTAATGAAGTCGTCTGGATGAAGAAATTCATTTAGGAATTAGGAGTAGTTCTGTCTAGCACATCACCCATTTCACTGTTGTGTGACAACAATGGAGCTATAGCTCAGGCTAAGGAGCCACGAGCCAACTCGAAGTCGAAGCACATCGAGAGGAAGTACCATGTACTGCGGGAGATAGTTGGAAGATGGGACGTCTTGATTCAGAAAGTAGCGTTAAGAGAGAATGTAGCAGACCCGTTGACTAAGCCGCTTACACAGAAAGTGCTTGAGAAACACGTGTAAAGTATGGGACTTCAACTTGTACCCGATTGGACCTAAGTGGAAGTGGGAGCTGTTGGACAGTTATGCCCTTAACTCCAATCAGATTGATGTATCTTTTCACATTTATTGTAAATGAATAAAGTACATAATTGGTTCATGTCATTGTGGTGTGCTTCTGTGTTTTTACCCATAAACTGGACACTTATGAGACTCGTGTTAGTTTAGAATCTTCACAACCGTTGGATAGATTTGGGGAGGTCTTTCTTGCCAAGGCTGACACTGATGTGCCACCAAGTTGGTTGGGGTGGCTTGTCTCAGCTGTCAGGGTGAGACCTAAGGTACATGCAGTGTGGGTTTTCTTGAAACCCTGAACCGGACCAATTTCCAGTATTGCCCTGGACCTTGGAGATAGATGGGCAAAACTGGAAAGCTACACCTGACCCCTAGACTCGATTATGGTACTGCACTAAGTGTCGGATTGGGCTATCTTTGATATGCCAATCAGTGAGATCCTTAGAGGGCGTCAAAACCTGGGTATGTTGGGACAGTTTGAGAATTCACCTGAGTGGGTGATCGTAGTGATAGAATCAGCCCCTTTGTCGGACAAAGTGAATGATTGGGTAATGCATTCTCTCTGATGGAAACCTAAACTGCTGGCAATTGATTTCAAACATTGAGATTTGTTTTTGCAAAATATATTTATATAGAGATACACATATAAATTATGATTTCAAAATGTTAGCAAAATGTTTTAATTTCCGGGATCCATGTGAGTAGAGAGTGCAACATTGCACCTTGCAGCTGAGGGAGAGGTCCTTTCTTGTCGGGTAGTGTTTGATCATTAAGGGCTGAGAGGTTAAGTGTAAGACCATTGAGGGTAATACTTGATGGGCTAATCTTCCATCTGCCCACAGTTCTTGAGTTTTCATAAGGTGGCTGGATCCAAGAACCATTTAGTGTAAACGTTGGGCCCATAAAGAGCCCATGGTGATGGGCTTAGGGATTCATTGTCTCCTACAGTGAATTCAGTCAGGCTTTGTAATAGAGGATGGGCTGAACCCATGTGGTTGATGTGTAGATCAATGTTAGGGTCCCACGCCATACAAAGAGAGCTAAGTTGGCAGCAGATTAAAGAGTAAGTGAGCACATAAGCTTAATGGGCCTAAGGCCCAATTCGAACTGGGCTTAAGTTAGTTAATTAAAAGGGGGCGAATTCAATTTTAAACTGATTAGGATTAGCTGAGGGATAAGATAAATCTTATCCATTTAAGAGTCCAGATCCAAATATAAGATTTGGATTAGGAAACTCTTTCCTAATTAGATTAGGAGGCTGATCCAAATAAGGCTATAAATAGGGGGCGAATTCTTCAGATTTAGCACCCAACAGCAAATTGCAGAATTCTTCCCCACTTCTTGCCGCCCCTACCCAGTTCGATCTCCACTCATGGATCTAATCAAGAAAGGTTCTTGATATTGTTTCTTCGAAGAAACAATCTGAAGTCGTGCTCACCAACCCTTGCTCGATTCTTGCTGAAGAATTCAGGTTCTTGCTAAAGAACTATCCTGCTGATCCTGCCTCACTATACACTGTGTCATCTTCAGTGGAGGTGGGTTTTGGTCTTCTCTTTGGGCGTGAACACCTGCGTTGGGAGTTACTCTTACTTCATATAAGGTATATCCCTCATTTCCCTTTGGTTTCAGATCTGTTCCGGTTTTGGATTCAAGAACGAACCTTGAAAATGCAGTTTTCTAAATTAGGGAATACGATTTACGGATGGGAGAAAAAGAAATTTTTGAAATTTCACCCAACCTTCCTACAGGGTTCGGCCATCCATATGATGGATTTTCCATCCCTTCAACTAGGTAGCTGGTTAATTACATCGATGATGTCCTTTCAAATCCATTAGATTTGTCGACAAAAAAAATGCATTAGATTTTTCCCTTGACCCCAAGACCATCTTCTCTTTAGTGGTTATGGCTTTGAATTGGTGTCATGTGTTTTTGATTGTCACAAGTTGTGGTCTGGAGGCCTTTTTCATTTTTTTGATCAGTAGCGGAAGCCTAGGCACATAGGGATGGCGCATTTTGATCAGTAGCGGAAGTCTGGTTGGTTGTTGTTCTAGTGTGGTACTGCAATGACTAGTTAATTTGGCCTTTCTAGTCTAATTAGTGCCTAGGGACTGGTTAACCCAGAAAAGTTATGTTCTAAATTTAATATATTGATGCTATCCCATAAATAAATTAATATAGATTGCAAATATGTAATAAAAGAATGGTACTGAACATTTAGGAGGTCTTCAGAAACATGGTTGGTTTTGTTATTCAAAACAAAAACAACTACCAACCATGTTGCCTAACACCCCCTTAGTTTACATTCTTTGGTTTATGAACATAAAAAAGATAGGCTGGATAGGCTGGGATACAGAGTTGTAAGATAGACTGTAACAATATATTTTTTTGATGGATAAAAGAAAGATTTCATTAAAGAGAGACTGGAAAGTTACTAAGAAGCAGGAGTTGTAAGGTGCAATCTCTCCCAAGAAAATTGGATTGCAACCATGAAAAATGCTTGAAGCAATATCATGTATATAAACAACAAAAGATGTATTATTTTAAATAACTAGAGATATACACAAATAAAAAATTGAAGTAGCTTTATGGTCACTTACCTGGTCATTAATTGACTAGTTGACCTAGTTGATGCTTAGTTGTTATTTATTTATTTGGATCAGCAAATCAGAAAAGAATTCATTAATTAAAATGAGGAAAAAGTTACAACAAGAGGTTGTGAAAATTGAAAAGACCCATTACAAAAATATTAAGTAGAGATATTATTTTAAATAACTAGATATATACACGAATTAAAGTTAAAGTAGCTTTATAGTCAACTTGTCCAGTCATTATTTGACTTGTTGACCTAGTTGATGCTTAGTCATCATCATCATCATTATCATTATCATCATCATCATCATCATCATCATCATCATTATTTTATTATTATTATTATTATTATTATTTGGATCAGCAACACAGGAAAAAATTCACTCATTAAATGAGAAAAAAAGTTACAACAAGAGGTTGTGAAAACTGAAAAGACCCATTACAAAACCTGCACACCAACCATGCTATTACAACTGTGCCCAATACATTTGCTGTTTGTGAACTCCTTGTTTAGCCAAACCATCCGCCAAACTATTACCTGATCTCTTAAAGCCATCTAATTTGAATGATCATGCCTTTAGAGAACCATCTAAAGTGCCTAAGCTCATTCTGAAACTGCCATGACACCCCTTTACTGCATCATGAGTAATAACTGAATAGTTAGTGATGCAGTTATTTTGGTCTTCAATTGACTAGTTGGCTGACTTAACACTTTGACAACTTTTTTTTTTCGTGTTTTTAGAAATAACAGTGGGTTCTTTTGAACAAGGAGGATATGCTGTCTTATCTTGGTCTTTGGGGTTCGTAGGTTTTGGTTCTTAGTTTTGCCTCTCCTTGCTTTTTCTTTTTTCTTATTCCTTTAGCTTCTTTCTCTATATTTCTGATTTTTTTTTTTTTGTTCACAAGAGTCTGGTATATTTCTCTCAGTATTCACTAACAAATAGAAACTAATCGGATAAAACAAACTTAATTAATTAATTGAGTCTGGGAATAAAATCCTTTCGAAAATATGACATAAGTTAATGGGTATTCTTAAAATCGCTAAAACTCTATTTAAATAGTACTGTATAGGCTTTTAAAAATGTCGGGCTTCTTTCTCCTAGAGACCTTTAACTATCGTATTCTGTTTTTGTATTGGGGCTCGAGTCTGTACTCTTTAGGTTGTCTACTCTTTGTTTTCCCCTTCATATTCACTTATTTTGTTTTAACCGCTAAAACTAAGTAGTCTCATTCTGTTTTCTCATATTTTCTTTTCCAGGCAGACAAGCTTTTGTCTCCTGAATTTCAACCATCAGTGGATCAGCTAATTCGTTTTCTGCCAGAAAATCGACAAATTTTGATGTTTTCTGCAACATTTCCAGTGACTGTGAAGGATTTCAAAGAAAGATATTTGCACAAGCCTTACATTATTAATCTCATGGATGAACTTACCCTAAAGGGTATAACACAATATTATGCTTTTGTTGAAGAAAGGCAGAAGGTCCATTGTCTAAACACTCTTTTCTCTAAGGTTTGTTTTGAACTGATGCTTCTCCTTAACTGCTGTTTTCTTTCTCCTATTTATGTAGTATATGCTTAATGTTTTCCCCTATTTCCAGCTTCAAATTAACCAGTCAATCATATTCTGCAATTCGGTGAATCGGGTGGAACTGTTGGCAAAGAAAATAACAGAGCTTGGTTATTCATGCTTCTACATTCATGCCAAAATGTTGCAAGATCATCGTAATCGAGTATTTCATGATTTTCGAAATGGTGCTTGCCGAAATCTTGTTTGTACGGGTATGTTTTTACTGCTTGCCTACTTTTGTCAGGATGTGTTTTACTAGTTACTTGGGACTTTAGGCACTGAATTGAACCTTACCGTGATCATTAGAAAACACATATTGTATGGTTTTTATTTAATAAATTTAAAAAACAATAGTAGTCAGTTGAGTTGCAAAATATTATAGATGATAAGTAATTGTTCTTAGTGTTTTGTGTTGTCAGATCATATATGTAATTATTAGAAAATATATGGAACCTTGTTTAATAAATATAAAAAACAATAGTAGTCAATTGAGTTGCAAAATATTATAGATGATAAGTAATTGTTCTTAGTGTTTTGTGTTGTCAGATCATATATGTAAATATTAGAAAATATATGGAACCTTGTAAGTGCGAAGAATTCCAATGTTGTCTTTTACTAATAATTTGATTTACCAAAAACTTGCTAGACCTATCTGGGTTTGTAGAACCCATACAGGTCACAATGGCTCAATGGTGTTTTTGGAATCCTCAGCAGGTCTGTTAGAACAGGGGAAGCCAGGCCTCTATGTGTGAGGACAGGCAATCAGTGCATGAGGTGTATAAGAGGAGAGGTACATATCAGCATTATAACAGAATGATGTAAAAACATTGTAACAGAAGATATGACTGAATTGTAACAAACCAGATTGCAAAATAAAAGAGTAGAAGGAAGAGGCAAGAGGCAGGAAAGAATTTGTTCAGTTCATCTCTCTCTCTCTCTCTCTCTCTTACTCTGGAGGTCGGTTCCCTTGAAAGAACCCTGAGTTAGGTAGATTCCTAAACAGTTTGGTATCAGAGCTTGGATGCTAAATATGAGAGCCACATCCATGGAGGTGAGGGTCGATCAGGTGGAGCTCAAGCTACACCACATCTCCGGCAACGTACGGGAAATCAAGGAAACAATGGCAGCTGTCTTACGTTGTTTGGAACAAAGCGCTCTGGAAGTGGGTAGGGGTGTTGAGCAAGGAGGCAGCCAAGGAAGCTGTCAATGGGGAAGGCACTGATACTCTTGAGGCCTAATGGAATAGGAAAAAAACTATCCCAGATTGAGGTCCATGATGACTCCTCATTGTCGGATTAGGAAGATGTAAGAGTTGATGGAAAAGGTTCAAGTCGGTGCTCTCTGATGAATGAAAATGAAATGGGGGGAAGCGAGCACACCAACAATAGTTTATCCCCCTAATCCTCAAGGAGGAAGGAATTTGTTCACTAAGAGTCTAGTGCCTAACTACACAGTACAAGAAAGGCAGTGTTTTACAAGAGCAATAAAGTAGTAATGAGCCTCAACAGAGCAAGGGGGAATCTATGGGTGTAGATGCAATTGAATCTTTTATTCAGGAGGGTGCCTCCCCAAGCCTAGAAGCCTTGGCTGTAATCGAACTAGAAAAGGGCATGGAGGTACTGTTGTTGCAACCTCAGTTCAGGCAGGTGAATTTAAGGGAGGAAAATAAAGTGTTGGGTTGCGGTTTTGTCCATATTTCTGAGCTTCGGTGAGTTCATGGGGGTATCGTTCAAGGGTTATGAGGAGGAAACAAAGGCCTTGCTCGTTGCAATAGAGAACAAGGCACTCCTGGAGAAAGCTAAAAAGTTGAGAAAGGAGTCCAAGGAACTTTTGAGACTCGCCTGGGAATTGAATGATGGGGTAGGCACGATGAGTTGTGTCGGCAAAAACTCTTGTGGGTAGATCAATGGAGAGCCTAAAAATTCTATTGTGGAATATTTGAGGGCTTTGCTTAGGAAGGAGAAGAATGATGGTAGGTGGTTTCATGAAGAAAAGAAAACCACCTATCGTTTTTCTATTGCAAGAAACAAAGCTACAAAATTTTAATAACAAGGTGGTGAGGAGTATTTGGGGTTTCGATCCTTGTTGGGTTGCACGGTATTTTAAAAGGTGTGCCTAGGCGCACAAGCAAGGCACATTTTAGGGTATGCGCCTTGCCTAGGTTTGGGCCTTGCCTAGGTCCTAGGTGCAACACTTTCAAAAGGCGCACGCCTGGTGCACCTAGGTGTGTGCCTGATGCGCCTAGTGCCTCAGCCCAGGCGTGCCCCTTTTTTAAAATTTTATGCTTTTTCTTTTTTGTTTTTTTGAACCTAGTGGCTGGGCCAGGGGCATAGCCCCTGGACCTCAACGTAATCCCAAAGAAGTCCATGTTAGCGTATTAAATTCTAAATTCTCACTTAAAAATAATGATTTTATAATTTTAATTGCCTTTTAAGAAGATATTCTATTAGGATGAATAATAAACAACATTTGAGAATAGGGGGGGGTTAGCACAGCGAGTGAACAAGGACGGGGTATAATCATTATTCATTATTCATTCATCCTAATAAAATATCTTCTTAAAAGGCAATTAAAATTATAAAATCATTTTTTTTATCAGCCAAAGATAACTTATTTATTTGAGTTAATTAAGGAAGATAGTACAATTTGATGACAGGGATGTCATCCCCAAGAAACTTTCAAGCCATTGTTACAAAGAAGTCCCAAAAAAGCTAACAAGTTCCCAGCAACCCAAAGTACATCAGTTTACAGCTTTGCCCAAAACAAACTAGGTCTATGAACTCCTTAAATTGCCAAAATATCTTCCAATCCGTTTGTAATCCTTCTTATCCAGCCAAAAGTAGAGTTGAATCTCTTTGCTAGGGTGTCAATTTCCCTAAAAGCATGTTTGTATTTCCAAGGAGCTGAACTGAAATTCTTGGACCAAGAGATGACTGAAACTCTCCTTCAATTTTCAATTCCCTTACTCCAATTTGTACAGCAAGTCTCAATCCATGTAAGAGAGCCATAACTTCAGCCTGGACTGAATCTCCAAAGCCTATTGGTCCTGAAAACAAGGCCTCCACCACTCCTTGGTGGTTTCTAAAAACACCTATTCCTGCCCTTCCTGGATTACCCAACAAGCTACATTCAAAGTTCAGCTTTAGTTTGTTAGAAGATGGAGGTTTCCAAACCAATTTTACTCTTTCTGCAGGTCTAGCTGTTTGAGTTACTTCAGTCCAGGACCTTATTATGTCATTTGTTTAGAATTCTCTAAAGGGATCCAAAGTTCTACCCAATGTGCTGTTCTTACTGTTACAACTTCAAACAGCTCCTCCTTTGATTTACTTCTCATTAAAGATTCTTTGATTTCTTTCCTCCCAAATAGACCAAATCAATACTGCTCTGGCTGTCCTCACGTAACTCTTCCTCTTTCTTTTGTTGCCTTAAGAAATTGGAGTTGAATAAGGCTACCACATCCTGTGGTGGTTCCTATTTGCAACCAAAGAGAGAACAGACATATTTCCAAACGCATGACACAAAAGGGCAGGTGAACAGTAAATGAGGAAGGGTCTCACAACTTCCTTGCAAAGGATACACACATGAGGAGATAGGCATTTATTTGGCCTTCTGTTTTTTTGTAGCAAGTCACAGGTGTTATCTTCCCAAGGAGCACTTCCCAACACAAAGCTTATACTTTAGGAGGGATAGGTCTGCACTAGATTTCTTAAATTATAAAACATTTATTTGTGTGACAAATTAAGAATTTAAAACCCTAACATGGACTTGTTTGGGCTTGCCTCGAGGGGCTTGGTACAAAGGTGGCTTGTAGAATTTGGAATGCAATATGTTTTACATGACATTAGCTACTTGAAGTAATGCAATTGAGGAAAAAAAAGAGATTGTGGGTTTTACATGCTTGAAAATGTTTTATATGTTTGATTTTGTTATTAAATTTTCATGTGTATATGTTTTATATGTTATGTTTATGTACTTTAATTTTAGATAATAGATTTTTTAAAACATTTATTTTAAAATTTAAGTTTATATTTTTTATAAATATTATGTTTAATATTTTTTGAATTTTTTGGCATTTTTTTATTTTTCTGACTTTTGTTTTGATTTTTTTGGCATTTTTTTTTTGTATTTTTGTACCTTGCTTCAAAAAGGTGTGTGCCTTCCCTTGCACCTCAGGCGTACATTGCCCCTTACACTTTTAAAACACTGGGGTTGCGATTCCAGCCAATAATATCATAGGAGGAGTTGTTGTGATTTGGAATAGTGATGCTTTTAGATTGTTGGACAAAGAATTGGGGGTTTTCTCTATTTCGGTGAGGCTCTTATGCTTGGTTAATAATATAATGGTGGTTATTTCATGGGTGTATTGACCTTTAGACTTGAGCCTAAAAGAAGAATTCTGGGAGGAGCTGGGTAGAGTGAGAAGAAAGTTGTGTGGATCTTGGGTTTTAGGTGGTGATTTCACTGCGATCCTGAGGAGTCCGGGTCTGCTGACCATGACAATTGCTGGCCACGCGCATCCAGCTATTCATCATGAATATCAGTGTTTTAAAGTACAACCAATATTCCTGATGTGCGCCAGGATGCTTGTGGCCAGCAATGTGTCGTGGTCAGCAGATCCCAACTTGATCCTGAGACCTGATGATAAGAAGAGCTGCAGAAGAATTAACAGGGGGATGAGGTGTTCACAGATTTTCTACAAAGGCGGGAGTTGCAGGATCTGCTCCTAGCTAGAACCAAGTTTACCTGGACCAGAAATCAGGAATTCCCTTCTCTAGTAAGGTTGGATAGGTTTATTATTTTGCAAAGAGTGATGTCAGATCACATCCCAATCTTGTTGGACACAAGGGGTACAAGTTTTGGGGTGTACTCGTTCCGGCTGGAGCACTGTTGACTTGGTTTAGAAGAATTAGATAATATATAGAAGTGGTGGGCTGAAACTTCTTTTACAGGGTTTCCTAGTCACGTTTCCAGCAAAATCTCAAATGGTTAAAAGGAAAAATAAAAGAATGGCAAAAAGAAAGATCTTCAAAAGACAAGAAGAGGAAGGAGTGTTTAAAGATTATTACAGATTTGCACTCAAGGGAGGAAGGTGAAGATCTGGACTGGATGATGATCTCAGAAGAAGGTGATCTCGGAAGAGGTGAGATGGCAGCAAAAGTCAAGATCCACTTGGTTAAAGCTTGGGTTTAGAAGAATGATCTCAAAGAAAGAG